AAAGATGCTCCCCAATAGTCATGACAGTTTGGACTATTTCGCTGGGCCTTCCTTGAGACAATGCTGAATTGGGTTGTGCCCGACGGTGGACCAGCCACAGGCTTAGTCCAGAACAAGAGCCTCCCAAATCGTTACTTTTAGACAAATGAGTTATGATTTAGAGTCAGTTTGTGTGTCGAGGTGGAAGAGTTTCAGGTATGGCTGACAATTAACTGGCTGGCAGCCACGAGAGTGTGTTTTGCTCGTAAATTTCCTTTGAGTTTCTCAGGAATATGCCTTGGGGGGAATTCACCCGGAATGAATTGTCGTTCTTGCTCGATAAAGTGGGTTGGTTACCAACTTCTCGAGGTTGTGCTCGACGAGAGCTTCCTTGAATTCGTCGAGCGCGACTAACAATGTGGAATTGTCTCCTCATGATGATTATGCTTGATTGTGATCAGATACTGGTTTTCTTCGTGAGGTCGCACTCACAAAAGACATTAATGGCTTGGCGCTCATGTGCCCGACAACCGGGACGGGTAATTGATCGCGACTTTATGAGTCTATCGGGTGTAGTGACTGCAAGTGCACACCTTATCACGTAGTTTTAAAAGATATCGAACCCACAAGGACTGATGGTCAAAACTACTGTTATCTAAGGGTAACCATGTAAAGCTAAGGCTAATTATAAATCTGGGTGTTTGGGTTTAATCGAGAATTAACTAGAATTTAATAATTAGTGAGGGACACCGGTATGTATTTCGTTAACTTAAGGGGTTCAGTACGTCATTGGCATTTGTTTTTAGTATTAAAACACAGTTTCAGTGAAACTATTTGTTTAAAAACCTTCGTCTCAAACTTTCGTTCTATTGAATCAGATCATATCAGTCAAGCTCGAAATGAGCGCTTCTGCTGTTTCATTTAAAACTCAAAAGTATTTTTTGAAAACAAATAAGATCCAATTAACTTTAAAGCGTTTCCACTATTTTTAAAATTAATGTTTCAATAACCACTATCCGGTTAAAACCTCAAACTTCCGCTCTATTGATTTTAACCTTAGACTTTCTCTTACTTCCGTACAAAAACATTTAAATATTCAATTGGAAATTAAAACGAGAAAAGTATTTTTGTAAAAATAATAATGCCAATTAATTACCGAACCCTTTGGTCAAGTTTTATATACCGGTATAGGGAATCTAGCCAGACATAATATTATTGCAAAACAGTACAAAATTAAAGCGTTGATTCAACAGTGCGTGCATGGCAGGAATTAAATAAGTCGTGCTTAATAAAATAGGAACCTAATGTGAATACAAAGCGACTGATCTGAATATTGTGTATCCTCCACAAGCCAACAGGATTAACTTGTAGAAAAAAATATATCGGACTAATTATAAAAATCCTAGGCAAATTCTGAAAATCTGGAAACAAACTAGTGCTGCAGTATTTCTCTGATGTGGAAAAATACTGCTTTTAACGGTAAGGTTTTATTGCTTACGGAATACTACGAAAAATGGAAAAGTGATACTGGAAAATACTACAACGAAATACAATAAAATAATTGTTGAACAGAGTAAATGGAAATGAAAACAATAATACTACGTAATTCTAAAGTGCCGGAGAAAAATCAAAACGAGAGAGCGACTAGAGAGATTCAATTATTGGTAACTGCCTCCATATATAGGGTCTATTTTTGTTGAGGAAAAATATGTAACATACCATGATTTACGTTACTAAAGTGTGGAGAAAATCTAGGAATATGCACTGAGTACGCTCTGTTGACGGAAGCTTCGTAACTGCCTGGATGATCGTGGCGAGCATGGTGTGGTACGTGACGTGGGTCACATAATTCAAGCATGTGCGGGTCGTAAAGTGTATGTGCCGAGGGGCACATAAACTTAGCTTGTGCCGGTCGTGACAACTTTGTGGCGGGCGGCACACTTCTTTGCTACAGAACTGCATTTTTGCTGTTTTAAAACCATTTCTTCTTCATTTTTCCATTCTTTTTCTTCCTTTTCTTATTTATGCCTTGCAAATGCTAAGTACCTGAAATATGATTCAAAAACTACAAAAAGGGATAAAATGTGACATAACAATCAAAGAATTAGAAATTTAATCTATGTAATTTGGACGAAAAATGCTATACTTTTTCGTGTTATCAGTAATGTTGGAGTCTCGTGGTTCATGCCCGACCATTGGAAGGTGGGGACTTTTCGCGTGAGCTCGACGCGTGGGAATATGTAACGCTGAGTCTTGGGAGAGAAAATGTCAGATTGCTTTGCGTGCAATGCGTGACAGCTAACTAATGCATAACTATAGCCTACGATAGCCTAGGGCTTAGGAAACGATGAGCTAGCGCGCATTCCCCCGTATGGTAAGGTTGAATATGAACCCCTTTCAACTTTTGGTGATTTTCCTTGCACAATTGAATCTTGTCATGTGAATAGAAGTTGTCGTATATGATGATAAGTATCCATAACAAGAAGAACCAACTCAAAATTTTGAAAATTGAGAGAGTTATGCACTTGTGATCTTTGAATCAAACACTTGCTCAACTAGGTTAAACTTGTTGAATCAACCTTGAATCTTTTGAACTCTCTTGGAAAAATAAAGCATGATGAATCACAATAGGCCTTAAAATGGTGTTGTCTTGAAGCACTCTCAAAGATAGAGCTTAAGTCTCAGTGAAACTTATTAAAGAAGGCATGGAAATAAACACATGAACCTATGAATCTTCTTGATGGATGCCACCACCAACTTTGAGGAAAGTTTCACCTAAATGAAGTGACAGAACTCTTTGAACCATGGATCTTTGATATCATAGACATGGCTTTGAAGCTTGAGCTCTTGCAAATCATTGAAGAATCACTTGACTGAGGACCACCCCTTAAACCCTAGGTTAAATGGTGAGATAAATGCAATTGTGTCGTTACCTACAATATAAACATTCAAAGAAACATATATACATATCTTGATGTTAGTTAAAAGAACACATGTACAAGATACACAATCCAGGGTGCTTGGTGATCTCTTAAGAGTAAACTTAAAGATAAGATGAAGTAGAATGAGAGAACCAACCCTAATGTGTGATCTTGATGTATTGATGATATAAGATGATATAGGGATCTTAGGGGCCAAAATTGGGGTGTAACAACTCATTTTGGTGTATTGTCTCAGACGACCTTTGTAACGCCCGTTTATTTAATTAATTATTTAATTAAATTATTTTTGGATTATTTGTTAAAGTTGTGAGATGTTGATAATTCTTGGTATAAGTTGTTAGATTATTATTAATTAATTAATTAGTTGATTAATAATAATAATAATAATGTTGGAATTAATAGAATAATTGTGTTGGGCTTAAGTTATTGGTTGGAAGTAGTAAAGTGGAGGTGTGTAAGTTAAACCCAATAAAATTGATGATATAAGGTTAAGCTGACACAAGGGTTTGGTTTTTGGAGAACAAGGAGTCTTGTGCGTGACCGTGTGAAGCCGCATGAAGAGAGGAGCAAGCTGCCCGGTGTCGAGCAGAACAAAGCAAGGCTGTCGGCTGGTATTTTGATAGAGCAACCTTCAATCCAGGTAAGGGTGGGGTTCAGACCTTATAATGGGATTTATGATGTATATCATATGGGAATTGGTCGTGTGTGTGACTGTCATGCATTGATGTTCTGAATCTGTTATTGAAGTTGCTCGTTTCCTCATGTTGTGGTCGTTTAGGGAGTTACAGTACGACTGTTTAACGAACCTGTTATAGGAAGTTGCCCGGTTGTTATGTTGTGGGTGTTTTGAGTTGTTTGTATAATTGCCCGGTATAATTGATGATTAGATTAGTGTAGATTTTACCTGTTGATGTGGTCGTTAGGATATTGTGATATTCCGAGCGGTTGGCAGGAAAATTAGTAAATTATTGTTATGGTCGTTATAGGAAGGGTTCAACGTGACTGTCTTATACAATTAGTGAATCTGTTGAAAGTAGATATTAGTTACTCGTTTCTATGTTATTTCGAGCAGTTGGTCAGAAATCATGGATTGTGTTGTGGTGGTCGTTATGTTGTTGTATTGTTCTATGTTGTTGGTCATAATTAATGGTCGAGGAGGATGTTGATCGTGTTGGGTGCCAAAAGGCATGTAGGCTACGAGGTGCGTTGGAGAATATATGTGTTAGATGTCGTGCCGTGTTAGGCTGCAAGGTGTACTAAGGAGCACAATATTGATGTCAAGCTGCAGAAGCTACAGGTTGTATCGAGGAGCATAAGCTAGTTGTTATTCTTCTTTGTTTCTGTGCGTGTCAAGGAGTGTGAGTTAGTTATTATTGTCTTGGTTGCTGTGCATGTCGAGGGGCACATAGTTTCCCTAATCCTCTTTTCGTTCCTGTTGGTTTGGTTGTTACGGTGTGCTGTGTAGTTTGTGCTTAATTGAGAATTTACAGGTTGATAAATTATGTTGATATGCCTCTAATTTTGGCAAATATTATGTTGTAGGCTTATAGCCAAAGTTGAATTATGTTGAGTTGATGTTGAATTGTTGTTGATGTTGTAGGCTTATAGCCAAAGTTGATTTATGTTGAGTTGATGTTGAATTGTTATTGATGTTGTAGGCTTATGGCCAACTTTGATTTATGTTGAGTTGTTGTTTGTTGTTGTTGTTGTTGCTACATTTATATTGTGTCGCATACATCGCATATCAAGTTGGAGCTGATGCTCGTTAAGTTGGCCTTGATTGGCAAAATATTAAGTTAAAGGTTTATGCCTTGTTGATGCCTCTATTTATTGGTAGATTTTTAAGTTGGGAGTTCTGCTCCATTGGTACCACATGCATTTGCATAAAGACAAGTTGCATTCTGTGTTGCATTATGTGTCGTTGTATGGTTGATTTGATTATGCTTATATTGTTATTAATTGTGAAACGATGATTTTTGCATGAACTGATTCTAATATAATGTTTTTCATACATCCGATTATATTGTGTGATATCTCACCCTTCTGTTTGAATGTTACCCATGTGTTGGTAACATGCAGGTAGTCGAGAGTGAAGGCGATTTACCTTCAGTAGTACGAGTCAGTGTCATTGTTCTAATACGTAACACTCGAGGGGATGAACGCTTTCTATTTTATTATTATTATTCAATTATTGCACTTTAATTTGTTGTTTGTTAAATAACTGTTATTTGAAGTTGTTTTAGTTGGATAAATATGTTATATTCTTTAAGTTGAATATTTGATTCCACTGCGTGGTTATGAAAGTTGTTTGTTTTAAAAGATTAATTTATGTTGTTGTTGGTTCATCCAAGTTTAATGTGTTATGTATCTGTAATGAATGTCGTTGTTTTAAGTTGAATTTATAGCATCCTGATTCGGTTGTCGAATTTTTGTATCTGATTTTATTTAATTGTTGGGTAGAATTGGGGTGTTACAAGTTGGTATCAGAGTAAGTCGGTTTGTTCGAACAAGTTGTCGAGTCGTAGTTTGTTTAATAATCGATTATTGTTAACTTGAGTTCTAACCGTTGTTTATGTATAGAGATAAGTTGAGATGGCTGGAAGGAATGACATTGCACTTGTTGCCACTTTGGAACGATGGCGCATACTATGGAGAATCAGCCAAACACTGATTGGAATGCCGGATCTCGTAGTTTGGCGACCTTCCAGAGGGAGAATTCGCCTACCTTCAAGGCTAAGTATGATCCTGGTGGAGCGTTGGATTGGTTGAAAGAGATTGAGAGAATCTTTTGTGTGATAGACTGCACTCTAACGCAGAAGGTTCGTTATGGTACTCATATGCTAGCAGTCGAAGCTGATGACTGGTGGCTAGAGGCGTGTCAGAGGTTGGAAGCTGCAGGTGAAAATGTCACTTGGGTTATGTTCCGTAGAGAGTTTCTGAGGAAGTATTTCCCTGAAGACGTTCGTGGTAAGAAGGAAATTGAATTTCTTGAGTTGGAGCAAGGGAGTATGTCGGTTGTTGAGTATGCTTCAAAGTTTGCTGTGTTGGCTGTTTTATTCGCACTATAGCGAGGCAAATGCTGAGTTTTCAAAGTGCATCAAGTTTGAGAATGGATTGCGTCCAGAGATCAAGAAGGCAGTTGGATACCAGAAGATTCGTGTCTTTGCTAATTTGATTGATAGTTGCAGGATTTATGAAGAGGATAATAATGCTCATTATAAGATTATCAATGAGAAGAGGGGTAAGCACCAACCGAATCGTGGTAAGTCGTACGATCCCCCTGCTGGTAAGGGTAAACAAAAAGTTATTCAAGGTCAGAGAACTAGTGGGGGAGATGCTCATGTTGGTGTGGTTTGTTTCAAGTATGGAAAACCTGGTCATAAGAGCAACGTCTGTACTGCTGAGGTGAAGAGGTGTTTCTGTTGTGGAAAGACTGGATATGTTGTATTTGATTGCAAGCATAAATAGACGATTTGCTTCAATTATAGTGAAGAAGGACACATTGGTAGTCAGTGTCAGAAGCCGAAGAAAGCGTAAACCAGTGGTAAAGTGTTCGCTTTAGTTGAGAATCAGACGGCTAATGAGGACAAACTCATCAGAGGTACATGTTTCATTAATAATAGTCTTTTAATTACTATTATTGATATCGGTGCTACTCATTGCTTTATTGCTGCTGATTGTGTTGAAAGACTGGGTCTTATGTTGTCTTCTATGAATGGAGAGATGGTTGTCGATACTCCAGCTAAGGGATCGATGACTAATTCTCTTGTGTGTTTAAAGTGTCCTTTGTCGATCTTCGACAGAGGCTTTGTTGTTGATTTGGTTTGTTTACCTTTAAGTGGGTTGGATGTGATCTTAGGTATGAACTGGTTAGAGCATAACTATGTTCATATTAACTTTTATAACAAGTCGTCGAGGTTTTCTACTTTGGAAGAAGAGGAAGCTGGTCTCTTGTCTTCTAAACAGTTGCGAAAGTTGATGCAAGAAGAGGCTCAGATATTCTCGTTGATGGCGTCGCTATCTATCGAGAATCAAGCTATAATTGAGGAATTATGAGTGGTGCGTGAATTTCCTGAAGTTTTCCCTGATGAAATTCCTGATGTACCACTAGAGAGAGAAGTTGAATTTGCTATTGATCTTGTACCTGGTATCAGACCTGTTTCTATTGCACCATACAGGATGTCTGCATCTGAATTTTCGGAACTAAAGAAGCAATTGGAAGAGTTGCTAGAGAAGAAATTTGTAAGGCCAAGTGTATCACCGTGGGAAGCTTCAGTGTTACTAGTAAATAAGAAAGATGGAAGTACGAGGCTTTGTGTTGATTATAGACAATTGAATAAAGTGACGATTAAGAACAAGTATCCACTTACAAGAATAGATGACTTGATGGATAAATTGGTGGGTGCTCGTGTGTTTAGTAAGATTGATTTAAGGTTGGGTTATCATCAGATTAAAGTGAAGGATGAAGATATCCAGAAGACGGCTTTTAGAATGCATTATGCACACTATGAGTATTCGCTGATGCCTTTTGGTGTTACTAATGCGCCGGAAGTATTCATGGAGTACATGAACCATATCTTTCATACTTATTTGGATCGGTTTGTAGTGGTGTTCATTGATGTCATTTTGGTTTACTCTAAATCGGAAGAAGTGCATGCAGAGCACTTGAGAATAGTATTGCAAGTTTTGAAAGAGAAGAAGTTGTATGCAAATTTGTCTAAGTGTGAATTTTTGTTAAAGGAGATTAGTTTTCTTAGTCATGTTATCTCAGATAGTGGCATTGTTGTAGATCCATCTAAAGTAGATGTTGTGTTGCAGTGGGAAACTCTAAAGTCGACTATCGAGATTAGAATATTTTTGGGATTAGATTGTTATTCTAGAAGGTTTATCTAAGGTTTCTATAAGTTGGCACTTCCGCTGACTAAGTTGACTTGAAAAGGTAGAGCTTATGTGTGGGATGTTTAGTGTGAAGAAAGTTTTGCAGAATTGAAGAACAGACTGACGTCGGCTCCGATTTTAACATTACCTAATCCAGGAGAACCTTTTATGGTATATTGTGATGCTTCCAAGATGGGTTTAGGAGGTGTGTTTATGCAGAATGATAAGGTAGTTGTTTATGCATCAAGGCAGTTGAGGACTCATGAGAAAAATTATCCTACGCATGATTTAGAGTTTGCTGCAGTTGTTTTTGTGTTGAAGATTTGGAGGCATTGTCTTTATGGTTCTAGATTCGAATTATTTAGTGACCATTAAAGTTTGAATTATTTATTTGACCAGAAAGAATTGAATATGAGACAACGAAGATGGTTGGAGTTGTTAAAGGATCAATTTTTTTTGTTTGAATTATCATCCAGGAAAAGCGAATGTGGTAGCTGATGCGTTAAGTCTAAAGACTTTACATATGTCAGCAATGATGGTTAAAGAGTTGGAATTAATTGAACTGTTCAGAGATACGAGCTTAGTTTGCAAGGTGACACCGCATAGTGTTATGTTGGGAATGTTGAAAATTAATAATGATTTTCTGGATAATATCAAAGAAGCTTAGAAGTTGGATGTAAAACTGGTAGATTCGATGGTTGGAATCGATCAATCTAAGAATAATGATTTTAAGTTAGATGTGTAAGGCATGTTGAGATTCCGTAATCGAATTTGTATTCTTGATGATGCAAAGATGAAGAAGGTGATTCTCGAGGAAAGTCATAGAAGCAAGTTAAGCATTCATCCGAGAGCTACAAAGTTGTATCAGGATTTTAAGAATTTGTTTTGGTGGCCTAGTGTTGTACCCCAAAATTTGCCCTCCCATGTTTCTCAAAATATTTCAAAAAAGATCCTCAAGTTGCTCAAGGTAGCCCAAGAATTGGTCAGACAAACTCTCTCCTAAGGCAGTCTACCCCAAATTAGGGTTTTGCGTTGCATCAAGATCCTTGAGTCTAAATGATCTCAAGTTCTCCCCAATGTCCTAATATGTTCTCAAGATCATCCATGTCAAATTTCAAGCCTTGCAGAGGAAGTTTGCTCAGTCAATTGCTCAAAGGTCCAAAAATCGGCTGTGCTAGGGCAAAAGTCAACTGTGACCTACATACAGTCAAACTTCAATATTTTTTTGCCAACATTCTCATTTTGAAGTATATTTCATCATTTTATCAAGGGTTGATCATGATTCATCAAGGATTGCTCACAATTCATCAAGATTCAAAAGTTGCTAAATTAGGCTTTTGTAGGAAAAGTCAACTCAACTTTGACCAAGCATAACTTTCTCATACTTTATGAGAAATGACCCATCCAAATCTCATTTTGAAGAGGATGAAATTCCCTACAATCCATCTTCATAACCCAAGATCAAAATATGCACCCACAAGAAGTTATGAATTGTGACATTATAGGTCATTTTTGAAAGTCAACAAAAATACCTTTTTTGTCAAAGCTTATAAATTAAGCATGGAATATCAAAATGATATGAGACTAAAAGGGTTGATTAGAGGACATCCCAAGATTTCTAAAAAGTCCAAGAACACCTCCAAAAGTTCAAAATTGAAGAAGTTATGAATTATTGAAGTTGGACTTTTTTGCAAAATTGCCAAAAGTCAACTATCCCCCCAAACTTCAAAATTTTCCAAATGGGACCATTCTTTTTCACTTGTTTTGAGTTTGCATTATTTCCCACGTGCTCTAGCTTTAGCCATGTGTCCATATCACATTTTTTATTAATTATTTTGATTTTTATTTGAATTAATTTGATTTAAATAAAATCAAATCCAATAAAATCCAAAGCATTGATACCAATGGATTTTTTTGACTGTTTCAGGATTTAATCACAACTAGCAAACCATTCCCAATTTGTATCAAGGCATAAGGGTACAAAAAGATTGAAATCAAGCTGTGATACGGTGGGAAGAACTGACTATTTTTGGAATGCTGGTTTGCGTTTTGCGTTTGTTTTCGCAAAATGTCGCGGTAAGCAAGAGTCGCCACCGACTTTTATTTTATCCAAGAAGGAAAGGAAAAAAGCACAGAAAAATTCCTTTTTCGAGATATTTCTCGGGTTCGGAGGGTAGATTATAGAAAGGGAAGGTGTTAGCACCCTTTCTATCCG